AGACGGCATCACAGTATGGTAAGGGGTGTAACATTTCCGTCACACGCTTGAGGTGTTCGGCCAATCACAACGCACTGGATTGCTGGCCAATCAGAGCACACCTCGCTTTTTCAGACCGATGAGCTTTGTAAAAATCAACGCGTTTCAGAAAGGCGGGGCATAGAGGAGAAACAATAATGTACAGTATGTGGAAAATAATGTGTTTTTTGAACCTTAAACCGCATAAACACATTTCATTACACCAAATACACAAAATAATGTTCTTTTTAACAACATCATATGACCCCTTTAAGATATTTAGAAAAAACACTGAAATAGTGCCATCTAGTGTCCTATTAAAAACATTCTGTGACCACATTAAATGGCCTGCATCTATATTCAACCATCTATTTTGATCAATGTAATAATGATTATAGTCAAAACAACTCACCCGTATTTACATAGCGCTTTTTACAATACAAAGCAGCTTTTCAAAGCAGCTTTACAGTGTTAAACAAGAAAATAGTGATTCCATGATGCAAACAGATCTAAATTTTGCTGTAAAGCAGCTCTAAAAAGCAGCTCATTATTCAGCTGAAATCAGTTCATTGTTGATAGTGGTGTCTTTAATGACAGAAAGCATTAAATCAGAATCAGGTTTGAGCATTTAACTGCTGCAGACATAACATGTGAACACCTTTCTCATTGTTTTAACAATATATTGAAACAGTTACGGATCTAACACCAACAGTTTTATAATTCAATGAAGACAACAACCTCCTTATGCAAACTTTGTCTCAGTAAAACAACAAGATTCTTTGTCATTGGAGAGATTTCATCTGATATGTGTCTAAAGGAAATGGCTGCTGTATCAAAATCATTCGTGCCAATGAAAGGAAGATGGCAAACGGTTTTACCACACGCTCGAAACAGGCATGCGCCAGTCACCACCACGGAGAGGGAAACCAAAAGAAGTTACTCTGAAAACAGTAACCACAGACCTTCTGTCGCATACACCACACATCGCCTTATTCACAGTTGATGTGCCAAGTTAACTAGCACACACCTCTTCTGATGTGCAAAATACATTTGACCACATGCATGAACACATAATTCACCTTATATGCAATCACTGTGTTGCCATCAAAAGCCAAATCTACTATGCTACAAATAAAACCAAATTGCACAACAGAAACTTAACATGCACTTTAAATCATTTTTACATTAAATGTGAGTAATGCATGCCGGTGCAAAATTTACCGCCAATTTACTAGGGTGTTCTGGATGGTTGGTAGGGTGTTGCTATTCAATTGCTAAGGTGATCTAAGGTGAGTTTTATACTGTATGTGGGAGGGTTAGTTGGGTAAATTTTCATCTAATTAAACAGACATCATTTAAGATCACCAACACTAAAGCTGAAAATGCATGACTGACTTAAAATTTTGGCGGTAAAAACAGAAGTGCAAGTTATCACGCATGTGTAACTTCCTTCCTGATGTGTTTGAATACTAAGTTCCTCTCTGTAGCTTAATTTATGCTTCTCGTTTCGTCTTGAAGACTATATGAGCATGTGGGCATTGCCATGGTGATAAGAAACAAACATGAATTCTCTACAAGGAAATAGTTCAATATCCTCTATACAGGCTACATAGGAAATACATTAGAGGCTTTGAATAATTGCATGCGCCACACTCTTCCATCCCTGATCATCTTTGACTATTCATCAAGAGTGTTTTTCATGAGTTTTTAAGGACAGGATTGTGAGTTTTTGTACGTTACTGTGAAAACGAAACCTTCACTAGTCATAAACAGATAAAATCTTAATGTCAGCCTGACATTTTAAAGACAAAATAATGTTTTTCATTTCCTCCCCTACAACCCCCTGCCATACAAGCACGCTTCACCATCCAATCCAATCGATTTGATTAATAAAATCAAGTCGCATCCTACGTTTTCTCTCAAAATATTATATTATGAAAGTAAAATAAGTTTCAGACTGATTCACATTTATTTTAAATGAACATAAAAATGAACTTTTTATTGAATTAATCACGTCAGAGTTAGTCACCTGCTTGCTTATGTATATTATTGTGTTACCAGACATGACCTGGTTATTAAGTTTAAAAAGATGCTTTTATTATTGCTCTTTGTTGTCGTAAGAGCAGTTGAAATCATTCTTAAATCAATTATTGAGCAGAAAATTGTACCAGCCTGATGCTGTTATTACTCTTCCACGAAAGCCCACAGAGACACATCTGTCTTCACTTAGTCACGGGACTAACACTCTCAAAGGTCTCACTGTGCTCGACCACCGGGTTGCCATCAAACCATTTTTTACATCTATGCAGAGGGCCACAGGAATGAGATGACAGGACTAAATACAGCTAATTTGTTACCAGTTTTTATAGACTTGCCCTGTCCACTGCCAACACTGAGTAACAGCCATCAGTCAATAAGAATGGACAGGGAGCCAGGGAGTCCAAATATCGATTTGTTCCATTATCCAAGGACAGGACATCTTCCAAAAAGAGGTGTCAGGTTCTACCTGTCCTGTTCCCATACACACTGCCTACTGTAGAGTCCCTGCCCAACTCTAAACAATATGGGCACTGAGCATATCAGTTGATCTGGGTGTTTTATCACAATGTAGATTTTTACACTTCAAAGTAAGAGCAACGGTAATTTACGGCAACGGCTATTAATGAATTTATTTCAATTCTGCCATCCTTTACTTCCATTTATGACATTCAAAACCTGATTGTTTTAATGTTAAAGACCAAAAAAGATATTTTGATCAATACTGGAGCCTTTTGACTTTAATTATGGACCAAAAAAAAAAATATATATATATATATATATATATATATTGCATTCCAGAGAACAAACTGTGTTCTTCTGGTTTTATTTATATAGTATTATAGTATTTAAAAATATTTTAAATTAGCTTAGCTGAGATTTATTAGCTTTAATTTAGTTTTTATTTCAGTTTTAGTAATTTTACTACATTAACCTTATTTTTTATATTTGCCAAATCAACATTTCTCATTTTTATTTAAGTTTTTTAAGCTTACATTTTTCATCTAATATTTATATTTTATGTTATTTCAGCTTTATTTCAATAATAGTTCAAGATTTAGTTAAATACAATAACAACCGAAGAAATAAAGCCATACAGCCATACATACAACATTCATTTTTGGGTGAACTGTCCCATTAAGCATATGAATTTGATGATGGATAATATTGAAGCTTCCCAGCAAAACAGGTGGATTATGGAAACATTTTCCTATCAGCATGAGCCCTGCATCACAACGTCATCACTCACTCTCAGAAGGGCAATCATCGCTTCTATGTTTTTTTTTGGGTGGTTTTATATTTTCCCTCCTCCAAAAATGATTGCAAAGCATTTAAACTCTTCCTGCCACCTTAAAAGCATTACCCATCATTTTGGCAGGCACCATATCGGCAGCATTATGTCTTAACACATCCATCGTTTCATATGACATGACAGAGTGCTCCACCTTATCATAAAGAATATCAATATCATCCAAGTAAGAAAGATCAAACAAAACTATACCCTCTCCATGGCAACACAAGAGTTAGAAAAGGGCCTTTGTCAAGGACAACTTCCTGTAAGAAAAAACAATGATGACCTTCACAGGCTAAACTATTTTAAACACAAATCTAATCCCCAAAGATCCTTTTATCAATTTTCTTTGCGAAAAACAACAACAACCATTACTAGGGCAATTTAACAATACAGCTCTTTGTACTTAGATTACATGGCTTCTGTGCTATTTTAACTAAATTACCTATTTATTTCAGCAACGAGCAGACAAAATTAGGTCCAAAAATGCGCAGAAAGCATCACGACACAAATAGATCCTCTATTCCTGTTTAAAAGGAGAGAAAAACAACCTGTCCTCAAGCACTGCAGCACACAACCTGTCAATTTAAACCATCAGCTGATAAACCAAGGCGTCCGTAAGCCATCATAATGAAAGTACATGATTCCCTCTGGACATTTCTGTGTTTGCAACACTGCCATAAGAGTAACATGAGCTGCGTATGATGTCAACATTAGTTTAAAGATAAATGGACGGACACACACAGCCATTATGTAAAGCATCAATACTGATTTCTCAAGCGGGTAAGTTCCTGTGCTGTCAAATATGGTGCATTTGTGCAACAAGAAGCATCTGGCAAACTCTTGGTGTGAAGGCACTGAATCAGCAAAATACCTCCTGACTCATAGAGCCAGAGGACGGTTGTGGGAGGTAAAGAACAGAAATACAGCATCACCTACCTTGCAGCCTCTGCATCACATTCATAATGTCCTTGCTGGACCGTCCGAAAGGGCTGAGGGAAGCCATGGTCCCTCTCTACAGTCCTGTGCTCCTCTGACACCGGATCACTTATGCAGTCGGCACAGTAGACAGAAGATACTGCACTACTTTCTTAAGGGGGTATCCCCATCTGCCCCTCCTACAACTCTCTCTTCCTCTTGCTGCCTCTCTCTCTCTCTCTCACTCACTCACTCTCATGCAGGAACTTGATGTGGCCCAATAGAAAAGCAGGTTTCATATAGGTGCTCACCAAAGTAGTCGACCAATCAGAAGTCCTCTTCTATCTACAGTCAGTGAACAGAGAAGGAAAAGTAACAGCAAGGGTGTCAGGACAAAATCACATTGTAAAAAATACTTAGATGAGGTAACATATAAACTAACAGGTTTAACTTAAGCCAGATTTATACATTAATTATGACTAAATAAATATGGCTGCAAACAAAATCAGTCTTAACAATTTTAGTACCCTAACTTTCAGTTAGCTGCCAAAGCAACATTTCACATTTTCATTAAAAGTTTTTCATCTAATATTTATATTTTATTTCAGCTTTATTTCTATAACTAAAAACTATTTTTAGTAGTTTGAGATTTAGTTAACAGTTACAACACTGCCACAGAAGAAATAGTCATACAGGCAATGGGTGAATAATGAAGACAACATTTTTATTTTTGCATGAACTGTCCCTTTAAGCATGCAAACTTGTTGATGAATGATACTCATTTGAATTAAGTCATTTTTAAGAGTCAGCTCAAACAGAAAACTGCACTTCATTAAACTTCATTGTGTTTCTATGTACTGTATGCACACTGTAGTCATGCTGCACATGCATGTTTGTACACAGACCACGCCCCTTTTACTTCACTAAAGTTGTTATTATTTATTTGTCAGTCTAATAATAATAATAATAATCTATGGACTTACTGACTGATTACTATTATATGGAAAAGAACTTTAGCTACAGGAGCTAGTCAATAATTAAAGAAGTGCTTGCCCACCAGGGATAACATTTCATCTTACATTGTGTATTGCACATGAAATGCATGATAGATTTGTATGCATATTAATCAGCCAAAGTTATGCACGTAACTAAGTGAAGACATCAGAAACTCAGCAACAAGATATATATCTGCTCTGCAGTCAAAAGCATGCTTACAGATTACACAGGAAATCTACTGCGCAAATTTCCAAGAAAACCAGCCCTGATTTATCAGAATACATATTCTTTGGTTTTGTAAAGTTGTTCATTCGTAGTGCGTGTATTACCGTGAGCAGATGACGCTTCCGTTCCCGCAGGGCTCTGGTGTCTCGTGTGATGATGATGATGGTGCAGCTCTGTTAGAAGGGTTGCTATGGAAACCTTTAAACAATGTTGCAAGGCCGTGTTACTTCATGTGAGCTTTACCGCCACCTATCGGTGATACGGGGAACAACAAGGGGGCGTTTACACAGCGTTCATGTGTTCAAAGCATCAGAGCGCAAAGCGATGAAACAGAACGCAGTCTGTTATATAGAACGATAGATAGATGATAGAACGATAGATAGATAAATAGAACGAACGATAGAACGATAGCTAGATAAATAGAACGAACGATAGATAGACAGAGCCACTAGCTACATCACATGCTACATGGTTCAATAATGACATCTACTGGCCATTTCTGTTTTTGTATGTCCTCCACATTGTTTTAGGACTAAATTATCCTTCACTCAAAAATTTTGCACGACTCAGTACACCAGGAGCTTTCAGTGACTGGGAATTCTGTTTGAATTTGGACAATACATATCCTCTCCCAGTTTCTTCTGAGAATGCATGCATCTTTAGGCAATTTCAGTTATAGTACTTAGTGGGGTTTTGTAAGAATAATAATAATATTTGGTTCTCTGTTCGTGATATGCCAGAAGGTACAGATACTAGGGCAGTAAGGAAATCCCCTCTGACAGCTGAGAACTTATCATCTGGGGGCGTTTTCATTTTCTTTTGGGAACTGTGTCAAATCAAAACTTGAGAAATGTATTGTTCAGTTTTATCTAACATAAGTATTTGTTTAAGTTTCACTCAATCTCAAAAACAAATCTACAGCAAAAGAAAAAAATGTAAGTGCTGAAAGGTGTAAGCTGGTCTATTATAATATAATGGGGTGAAGAAGCCATTGTATTGTACCCACTGAAAAGAAGGAAATGATGCAAGAGGAAACAGCCCTGTTCCTCTGGATTTCTGTCCTGAACAGATAAGCCTAGCACTTGCTAATTATACAAGTAAAGAGGCAGGAAGAATGACGACAACGTTTCCCTTCATGCAAACAAAAAAAGTGCCATATTCCTTGAGAAATACAGTGAACGGTTCCTGTGGGCTTGGAGTGAGAGTTTGGCTGCATGTTGACATGCTTCTGCTAACTATTATGGCTTCAAATGAAACAAATGCGATTTGGGAAATACTTAAACCTATTGATTTTGGTAAGAATTGGCGTGCATTTGTTTTACTAGTTTGCTTCAGTTGGCTTAGTGTAAATTTCATTTTTATACCTATATAAACTGTGTGCACATAGAAATATATGGTGATTCAATTCAATTTCAGAATGGTTTGTAGAACTGTAACTCCTAATCAATAATTTTCTATTTTTATTCATTTATCATTATTTTCCCAGCATTGTTAATTTGTTCTAAATGTAGATTATATAAAGTTCTGCATGCATGCATACAAAAAAAAATGTATAGAAACTATTTTCATTTTAGAAATTGCTAGTAAATTTTTTTTATAAATAATTATAAAGAAATGGCAAGTAACACATTAAATGAAACATGAAATATTTAAGTAGAAAAACTGAAATATGTTCTTGTAAAACTAACTTCAGTAATATGTTTTATTTACAACTTTTAAAAAAATATTTTTCTTGGTGTGTGTGTGTGTGTGTATAAATTTAAGTAAACATTGAACTCAGTTATTCAACATGTATTTAAGATTGTATATAATATTGATATTATATACTCAAAATTCAATAACCTTTCCATCCAGAGGAGCTCATCCTGGCGTTCTGCTTGTCGATATTAATTGGTCTGCTCATCGGGATCTTGATTTTCCTCCTCCTTACATGGATGTCAAGACGGAGCGCTTCTGTCAGGATCACCAGACGTCAAACCCCGTCGTCAGAATCTAAAGGCTCACGTAATCAGCACTGCCACCTCAGACACTACAAGAGTCACGGCTTCGACAAGAACAGTGAATCTGCGGGAAGAGCGGTTTTGCCCCTCCACAGACAGACCTCCGTAGACCCCAATGAGCTGCTGGGTAGAAGCCCTAGCTTTCAGAACTCCACTTTTCGGCCGCCACCAAAGAAGCCTAAGAAGAACAGTGATGAAACAGAGGATAACCAAGCTGCATTACTTCCTAACATCACAGATCCATTTAGTGCAGAACCAGCAGAGTCCTTCTGGCTGGGGAAGGGCAGTCTAAGAGGTTTCCTACCCAGACAGACTCCACCACCTGCTTATGACAGTGTCATTCACATCTTTCAAGAGTCCTGTACCTGACTGCACTGTGATAGGAGACAAAGGATTGTACATACATCTCAAAACACGGATAAAACGTCACAAAAGGGGAAAAAAATTAACGAAAGGCTTGTTCTGATTTGAAAGGGATCCTGATTTAACACTCATTTGCATTACTTTCATGGGTAACACTTTACAATAAGGTGCCATTAGTTTGTGTTTATGCATTAACTAACAATGAGCAATACATTTATTAGTATTCTTTAATCTTTGTTTGTTAACGTTAGGTAACTAAAATACCACTGTTCATTGCTAGCTCATGCCAGCTCAGGTTCATTAAAAAAATAAAAATAAATACAGGAAATATGTTTGATTTTAATAATTTACAGACGCTTTTATCCAAAGTGACTTACAAAGAAGGACGCTGATCGTAAAAGAGTCAACAATAGTCATTATACACAATCCCAAGTTTATTAGACAAGTAGTTTAGTATGTATATGTTGAAATGAACATTCACTAAGATTAATAATTGCTCTAAAAATATTTTTATTGTTAGGTTATGTTTTTAATTCATGTTAACAAATTGAACCTTATTGTAAAGTGTAACCCTTTTCATGCAGTGGTGTAAAAATGTTGAACTGAATTATTTTAGTGTTTCTTAGGATAAACCTGGTCATTAAAAATAACAGATGCTTTAGCGCATCTATAGTGCATCTAAATCTTTACGTTCTCTAGTCACTGTTGGTTTTGGGTGTTTGCTTATTGAATTGAAGCAGTGAAGTAAAGCAAAGCACAAATAAAAGAAGACTAACTGATGTTGAAAAAAATATATGTGATTATCGCATCATTAGCAACAAGTTTCACAAAGTATTCAACAGTCTTGGTCAATGTGACACATGGCTGTCTAAAGCTATGTGTACTTTGAATCACCATGGTACTGAATGATTGCTGTATTCATATACCACAGTACATGCAGTACTCCACAATACATTTTTTAAATCACGGCAATTTCATGGCAAGCTAAAGAATATTGTATACTTCATTTTTGTCTATTAACTAAAGTAAACCATACACACTAGGAACGGCAGAAAGTACAGAAGAAGACCTCCTGGGAATATTTTCAATATGGTATTGTTCTCTTTGCCTTTCCAGAGATGAAAGTGAAGTATCTCTCCTGAGTCTTGCTGCAGTCTGTCTGGAAAAAGCACATAAGTGCTGGTGAAACTCCTTTTCACTAACAGAAAACATACAATCATCAGTACAATTGATCAGTACAAAAACAGTAAATAACATAGAAAAGGCTATGAAGCACAACAGATGAGTTTCAAAACTAAAAGTCCCTTTCTATAAATTTGTAGTGATAACAATAAGTTCAGACTTACCGTGACCTTTGAGGTAGCCTACGTCTGTGCTGTGCTACAAAAGAGCGCAGTAATAATCGATACACTTTCAAATAAATAATTTTCGTATTAATCAAGGTTGGGCATAAACACCAGCAAGGTATCAGCAATCCAGGTTAAATAATTAATTAAAATATAGGCTAATTCAATTATTTATAGACAAGAGGGCATTGCTAGATTTTCTGATTCATCAACCAAAAAAATGCTGGCCGCTCCCATAACAATTTTGTGTTGTTTACTGTCTGTAACAAAACCTAAACACCTCAGAACACCTATTTCATTGTTTGTGTTGTAGGGACATTTTATGCATTATATGACAAAAGTACGGTGGCCGAGAAGTGCAAAGCAAATCACAATTCTGAAAACAAAATAACAAATTACAAATGCAAATGCAAGTCTAAAAAACAAAATAACAATTCAGAAAGCACAACAACAATTCAGAAAACATTATAACAAGTCAGAAAACACAATGACAAATTCGAAAACAAAATAACAAGTCAGAAAACACAACGACAAATCAGACAAACCGGAA